GTTTTCAAGATTAGCGTGTCAGAGTGAAATGGAACTAGCCTTTCGTGTTAGCTGTTAGGTACGGCTTTTCCAAACGGGACAACATTGAACACACCCCCAGGGCCACGCCCCCCGCACAAAATTGGTTGCACTGCAAAACAAGAACTTTCCGGGTGCCCCCTGACCCCCCCGGGGAGCGGGAGGGGCCCGGGAAGGGTTTAGGGGCCCTCCAGGGGCGGGGGGCCCCCCAAGGCCCCCCCCCCCCCCCCGCGGCCCTGTTTTGGTAGTATATCACACATATGATGGGTCACTATCATACTCACGACCCAGGGTACCGGGCAAGGACGCGGCCGGCGACGGAGAGCTCGGCTGGAAGGGGGCGTATGTTCGCTTCTCGGCAATACGGAGCCCGGGGGGCTGCTCAATCTGGTCAAAGGGCGCGGCAAGTACTCGCCGTCGGGAGCGACGGCAGCGGCGGTGGCGGAGGAGGAGGACGAGGAGGAGGAGGCGGAGGTGGAGGAGGTAGGGGAGGGGGAGGATGCGGATGCCCCCAAGGGAAAGCTCAAAGAGCTGGATGGCGATTACCGCTTTGCGCGGGAGCAGGATTGCGATCTAGGTCTGCCGGCTGCCATGGCCCATGCCTGGGGAATTCCACGTGGGGTCGCGCATGCAGCGGCGGAGAAAAGGATCTTATATTCCCACCCTCGGGCAGCCAGGCTCTGCGGCCAGGAGGAGAGGTCCTCACGTTCTCCGATGAGGACCTTTCTCCGTGTCGTGAGGAGGAGGACCTCTCTGTTACAGTGAGGACATGGTTTTGCACAGTGTGTTGATTCACGGTGACAATCCAACACACCCCCTGCGGAAAACCGGCGCTGGAGGGTAAAACTCTTCACGGAGCAACTATCGCGCTTTAAAATTCTTTTCCGGCCTGCGCCAGTCTGCGCCCTTGTCGTGCCAGTGTGCTGTGAGAGAGGCTTGTATCAAGAATTCTTTTCCGGCCTCCGTTCGCTCGCCCACTCGGCTCGCACGTTGGCCGCCGGCGGCTCCTACGTGTGTGCACGTGTAGATGGGCTCGCTCCTCTCCCACGCCTTCATCGACCCAAACGACCTGCCCGGCTGTGCCGGCAAAGGAGACTGCGACGCGCTCTTCTCGTCGGCCGACAGTGCATGGGGGCTCCTGCAGACGCTCTCGCTCGCCGCCGCTTACGGCTACGTTCTGTTCTGCGCCTCCAACCTGCTCTCCGAGGGATCGGAGCTGCTGCTGCTGGTGCCGTCCATCGCGGGGATCGTCGGCTCGGT